ATTTCTTTGCGCTGGATTCATAGTTCCTTCTTTAGCTCTGAGAAGTTTGATCGACTGAAGCCTTCTTCTCTCAACTTGTCAAAGTCATTCTCCGTCCAGCTTTGTTCCTTTGCTGGCGAGGAGCTACGTTTCTTTGGAGGGGGAGAGGCCCTCTGATTTTTTGAATTTTCAGCTGTTCTGCACTGCTTTTTCCCCATCTTTGTGGTTTTAACTACCTTTGGTCTTTGATGATGGTGACATACAGATGGGATTTTGGTGTGGATGTCCTTTCTGTTTGTTAGTTTTCCTTCTAAGAGTCAGGACCCCTCGGCTACAGGTCTGTTGGAGTTTGCTTGAGGTCCACTCCAGACCCTGTTTCCCTGGTTATCAGCAGCGGAGGCTGCAGAAGAGAGAATATTGCTGAACAACAAGTGTTGCTGTCTGATCGTTCCTCTGGAAGCTTCGTCTCAGAGGTGTACCTGTCCGTGTGAGGTGTGAGGTGTCAGTCTGCCCCTAGTGGGGGATGTCTCTCAGTTAGGCTACTCGGGAGTCAGGGACCCACTTGAGCAGGCAGTCTGTCAGTTCTGAGATCTCAGCCTCCGTGTTGGAAGAATCACTACTCTCTTCAAAGCTGTCAGACAGGGACATTTACATCTGCAGAGGTTTCTGCTGCTTTTTGTTTAGCTATGCCCTGACCCAGAGATGGAGTCTACAGAGGCAGGCAGGCCTCCTTGAGCTGTGGTGGGCTCCACCCAGTTCGAACTTCCCGGCAGCTTACCTACTTAAGCTTCAGCAATGGTGGGTGCCACTCCCCCAGCCTCGCTGCCGCCTTGCAGTTAGATCTCAGACTGCTGTGCTAGCAATGAGGGTGGGACCCTCTGAGCCAGGTGTGGGATATAATCTCCTGGTGTGCCATTTGCTAAGAACTTGGTAAAGCACAGTATTAGGGTGGGAGTGACCTAATTTTCCAGGTGTTGTGTGTCATGGTTTCCCTTGGCTAGGAAAGGGAATTCCTTTCCCCCTTGTGCTTCCCAGGTGAGGGGATGCCTTGCCCTGCTTTTGCTCTCACTCGTTGGGCTGCACCCACTGTCTTGCACTGGCTGTCTGACACGCCCCAGTGAGATGAACCTGGTACCTCAGTTGGAAATGTGGAAATCACCCGTCTTCTCTGTCGCTCACACTGGGAGCTGGAGGCTGGAGCTCTTCCTATTCAGCCATCTTGGCACCCAATCCCATCCATCCTTCTTGTCTTCCTTCCGTCTTGTCTTGTCTTTTTTTTTTTTTTTTGAGACAGGATCTTGCTCTGTCACCCAGGCTGGAGTGCAATGGCATGATCACAGCTTACTGTAGCCCCAGGCTCCTGAGGTGGAAGCAGTCCTCCCAGGTAGCTAGGATTACAGGTGCACACCACCACACTTGGCAATTTTTTTATGTTTTATTTTTGTAGAGGCAGGGTCTCCCTGTGTTGCTTAGGCTGGTCTTGAACTCCTGGTCTCAAGTGATCCTTCTGCCTTGGCCTCCCAAAGTGCATGAGCCACTGCGCCCAGCCTCAGTCAGGTTTTAAATGCAGATGAAGTGCCCTATTCTGGGGGAAAAAAAAGCCACAAAAGACATTTGTTATTGAAGAAGTAAAGCAAGCACCAAGATTTAAGGCAGGAAGGGACAGAGTAACTCTGGTGTTTTGTGCAAATGCATCTGCGTTTATGATCAAGATTCCCCTTATTTGTAAAGCTACTAACCCCCAGCCTTAAACAGAAAAGGTAAATGCCACTTATCAGTCTTTTGGTTATGTAACAAGAAGGCCTGGACAGTGAGAATTCTTTTTCTTGATTGATTTCATCAATGCTTTCTCCCTGAAGTCAGGAGGTATTAATACCTTGCTATAAGGGACTGCCTTTTAAAGTTCTTTTGGTATCAGACAAGGTCCCTGGCCACCCAGAACTCCACGAGTTTAACACTGAAGATGTCAAAGTATTCCAGTTGTCCCCACATGCAATGTCCCTAATTCAGCCTGCAGATCAGGGAGTCGTAAGGAGCTTTAAGGCTTATTATACATGGTACTCTATGGAAAGAACTGTCAACTCTGTGGATGAGAACCTCAACAGAGATAACCTGTATGTTTGGAAGGATTACACCATAAATATGCCATTGTTACAGAAAAAACTGTGAAGGCCATCAAGACTCAAACAATAAGAAAATTAAAGAAAACTGTACCGATAGTGTACATGACTTCACAGGATATATGACAGAACCAATCAAGGAAATCATGAAAGAGATTGTAGATATGGCAAAAAAAAAAAAAAAAAAAAAAAAAAGGTGCAGGGGGAGGAGGGTGAAGGATTTCAAAATATGGATCTTAGAGAAATTCAAGAGCTAATAGACTCCACACCAGAGGAGTTAACAGAAAACGACTTGGTGGAGACGAGTGTTTCTGAATTAGTGCCAGATGACGAGGAAGAAGACATAAAAGAAGCAGTGCCAGAAAACAAATTGACATTAGACAATCTGGCAGAAAGTTCCAATTATTCTGGACGGTTTTGACTTCTTTTACAACATGGACCCTTCTGTGACATGGACACTGCAACTAAAGCAAACGGTAGAAGAAGGATTGGTACTGTATAGAGATATTTTTGGAGAAATGAAAAAGCAAAAAGTCAGGCAGAAATTATAGTATATTTCCATAAAGTTGCACCAAATGTGCCTGTCTCTCCTGCCTCTTTTTATACCTCCTCCATCACTTTCACCTCTGTAGTCTGAATAGCAAGGTCTACCCCTCCTCTTCCTCCTCCCTCCTCAGCCTACCCAGCCTACTCAACATGAAGATCAGACTGAAGACCTTTGTGGTAATTCACTTTCACTTAATGAGTAGTCAGTATATTTTCTCTTATGATTTTCTTAACAATACTTCCTTTTCTCTAGCTTACTTTATGGTAAGAATACATTATATAACTTACAAAATATGTTAATCAACTGTTTATGTTGTTGGTAAGCCTTCTGGTCGACAGTAGGCTATTAGTAAAGTTTTGGGTAAGTCAAAAGTTATACTCAGATTTTTAAAAATTTATTTTTAGTAGAGACAGTGTTTTTCCATATTGGCCAGGCCGGTCTCAAACTCCTGACCTCTGGTGATCCACCTGCCTCAGCTTCCCAGAGTGCTGGGATTACAGGCATGAGCCTCTATGCCAGCCTATATGCAGATTTTTTACTTCACAGGGGGTCAGTGCCCCAATCCCATACATTGTTCAAGGGTCAACTGTATAATAGGATTTGATTCAGAATAAAAAGGAACTGAATTACTCATACACATAGCATCATGGGTACATCTGGAAGACAGGCTGAATAAAATAAGCTAGATGTAAAATAATGCAGTTGATCCTCAAACAACATGAAGGTTAGGGGTGCCGATCCCCCATGCAGTTGATCTAGCTATAATTTTTTACTCCCCATAAGCTTAAATACCACTGAATACCCTATGGTTGACTGGAAGCCTTACTGATAACATATACAGTTGGTTAATATATGTTTTATATGTTATATGTATTGTATACTGTACTCTTACAATGAAATAGGCTAGAGAAAGAAAATATTAAGAAAATCATAAGAAAGAGAAAATATATTTACTCTTCATTAAGTGGAAATGGGTCATCATAAAGGTCTTCATCCTCATTGTCGTCATGTTAAATAGGCTGAGAGGGAGGAAGAGGATGGGTCAGTCTTGCTGTCTCGGAGGTCGCAGAGACAGAAGAAAAGGCACATATAAGTGGACCCCCACAGTTCAAACCTGTGTTGTTTAAGGGTCAACTATACATACTATATTATTTCACTTTCATATAATTCTGGAATAAAGGACAATCTGGTTTGTAGTGACAGAAAGCAGATCAGTTTTTGCCTGGTGCAGGTTGTGGATAGGTGATTGACCAGGGAACCTTTTAGGCTGGGGTAATATTCTGTCTCTTGGTTTTGGTGGTGGTTATGTTGGTTTCTGTCATTGTCAAAACTCATCAAATTATATGCTTAAAGTGGGGTGTTGTTTTATACTAAAGTTAATTTAACAGTATTAAACCATTTTAGTTAGTTGCTATTTTAACTATAATGGCAAGCTATGACAGACGTATTGTCCTTGGATTTTTGTTAGGCAGGGTGTAAATCCACTATATTTTTTTCTAGGTAAAATGTTCTCTGTTAATGTACAAAAATATATGGCTAATATTTGGCTAAAGTAAATTCACATAATTAGTATGACTTTAATAAACAAAATATCATTTTTTCTTTCTTCTGTAAGTTCCTTAAATTTATCCTTAACCAGATATCTCCAATTTTTAATATTTCAGTTAAATATGCATTGCGTATCTGCTAAAGATTTAGGGTTATTCCAGATTCACAGTTCTTCTCATTCAGATGGCTTATTCTTACCCATCATTAAACCCTGAAGAAAAAGGTAATATATAGGTAATATAACAATTGAATGTATTTCTAAGTTATGTTGTGTCATCGTACCTGTGTAATTAGAAACATATCCTTTCTTGTCACTCTGAGATAGCATCTTGGTCAGGAAGAGGGTTTCCAGATCCATTATATCAGAAAAACAACAACAAAAAAATCATTCCACTCATCCTATAGCTCTACTTTAAAAAAAAAAAAAAAAAAGATTTCTTCAATTCCTTTTTCTGCTTTTCTTGCTACTAAAGATCGATTATGAAATATTTCAGAAGTTTAGATATGCTTGTTAAACTCTAGGAAAGAAAGAATACATTCTGCAGAACTAACCTTTATCAATTCGTAGTTTAAATTTGTTCTGAATCTTATCTCTTGTTTTCCAATAGATTCGTTCCTAGTTGACTTCTTGGTTACCTCTTGCTTAGTTCCTGCCATTTATTCATTAACTCAGCAGAGGATTTTGCAGAGTCTACTGTGTTCCAGACTTTTTGCATCATTTCCTTGATTTTTGAGATCTACCTTGATTCCTTGAAGAGAGTGGTACTATTTACCTCTGGTTTTTAAGATTTTTGCTCTCCTTTTAGATTTTTCTTCCTGGCCTGGTTCCCTTGCCTTCTCCATTTGCTTTATTTGCTTGGATTTTCAAGAAGCTTTGAAGCTGGATAGGAGTCTCCAGTTTTCCTCTTGATCCATATGTTTCAGGTAAGAACTCCACCTATTTTTTCTACATTGGGGCCTTATTGATTTAAAAAATACAGTCATAATAAATTTTTTTTTTTTTTTTTTTGAGACGGAGTCTCGCTCTGTGGCCCAGGCTGGAGTACAGTGGCCGGATCTCAGCTCACTGCAAGCTCCGCCTCCCGGGTTTACGCCATTCTCCTGCCTCAGCCTCCCGAGTAGCTGGGACTACACGCGCCCGCCATCTCGCCTGGCGAGTTTTTTGTATTTTTTTAGTAGAGACGGGGTTTCACCGGGTTAGCCAGGATGGTCTCGATCTCCTGACCTCGTGATCCGCCCGTCTCGGCCTCCCAAAGTGCTGGGATTACAGGCTTGAGCCACCGCGCCTGGCCAATAAAAATGTTTTAACTGGGGAAGAATTTATTTAGAGGAAGAGAGAGGCACATAAAGCCCTAAGATACCATCCCAAGTAATTTCCATGCTGACACTATTACATTTTTTCAGTGTTAGTTTTTTAAGATCTAGTACAATTAGAATATCAATAATTATGATGAAGAAAAAGAGGAGTTTTTCCAGTGCTTGGCCTTTGCTCCTTTACATCCATCTAATACCAGAACAATATTAACCTGTTTTGTTACCTTTGCTCTTATATTACAGCCTGTCTCTTCTCTCTCTCTCTCTCTCTCTTTTTTTTTTTTTTTTTTTGAGACGGAGTCTCGCTCTGTCGCCCAGGCTGGAGTGCAGTGGTGCGATCTTTGCTCACTGCAACTTCTGCCTCCCGGGTTCAAGCGATTTTCCGTCTCTTTTGTCTTAACTCGTAGGTTATCTCTTTAAGAAATTCTGTTTCAGCCATAGTTTTTCCAGTTCTCCATAATCAACCTACCACTTTAACATAGATTTGGAGTGCAAAAACATCGTTGTATTTGAGGAAGTAGCTTTCTTTTACCTCTCTAATCATCTCTTTCATGAATCTTTCTTTAATTTCAATCAGAGTTTCTTTGTGACCAGAATCAAGACTCTTATGTATTCAGAAGCTGCTTTTGTACTAACAGAAGTTGCTACTTTTTTCATTCTCTTTGAACAGTAAAATTTCAATATATGTACTATTCCTTCTTGGATGGCTTCAAAGAAGTTCATACATTTGATTCTTACCTGTTGCGTTTCAGTTTTTATTACCCATTTCCTCTCTCTTTTTCTCTGTATCAAGATATGGAACATTTCTTGCATCATTTTTTGGTTTACATGTGCCTTATCATGAAGAATCGCTGGTTTCATTTCTGTGTTTATTTTAAACTGATTTATTTTAATTCTTTTATGCCGTCTACTCTTCCAATCTCCGTAAAACAACACATGTTTATTGAGCATATATTGGCATGTGCTAGGCCTTAAGGGTATAGTTATAATTAAGGCATGTTCTCCAAACTTGAGGGATTCATAGTCTATTCAGGTAGAGAAATATTTCAGCATGTAAGGAATAGCAAATAATATGAACATAGAAGAGCAGAGGAAAGGTGCATGGTAGATAAAGTATGAACCTGACCTTGAAGGTTGAGTAAGAGAGTGCCAAGCAGTGGAAGAGAGTGGGCATTCCAGAGCCATCCAGCCTCAGTTGAAGATTTCAGGATGCTGAGGCATGAAAGCAGGAGTGCTGCTGACGGCATGGTGGAGGTTCTGATGGGTCTACAGCAAGGGTGGTGGGTGTGGACATGAAAGGGAAGGGGAGGGCGGGCTCAAAGTTAGATTGAATGTTCTTGTATATCATGTTATCAAAAAGACAGCCTTCCTTTAATGGTACCTCTGTGTATATGAGAAGAATTAGGAAGAAGAAAACCTGGGAGGAGACTGAGAAGTTACCAGAGGCAAGAGGGGGCAAAAGAGCACAAGTTGGTATAAAGCTAGAGGGGGCTATAGTTGGTATAAAGGGGCTATAGTTGGCTATAGTTGGTATAAAGCACAAGTTGGTATAAAGCTAGAGAACTGATAGAAATTTCAGATGCTGCATCAAATTCACGTATCATTCCCCTCTTTTTCCATTAATGCTTTCTTTCATTCCCCTATGTTTTGATTTCTAGATTCAAGCAGAAAAGTCCTTCCTCAAAATAGTGTGTCTTGATCGGTTTCAGCAGGATTCAGAAATAATAATCATTTAAGGGTCGGTCTTTTTTCTTGAGTCATTACCACATTGAGCATTCTAATTACATTTTGGTACTATGTAGCAAAGCTGTCTAAACTTACTCTTTTTTTTTTTTCCCTATGACTTCATTGACATGTCTCTCTGGGCTCTTTTGCAAGTAAATATTGTTACAATTTGCCTTCTATGTATGCCTGTGCCTTATTGCCTGTCCTTTTTGTCTTTTTCCATGTTTTTTCACTTTAGTATATGTTGAGAATCCTCTTTTCAGTTTTAAAGTTGTTTTCAGGTTCTTTCATCTCACTGTGAACCTAGCCTTTACACTATCCTGGCTCTAGTTCATTCTGATCACTCCCTTTGTTATTTTATTAACAGTCCTTTTCCTTCCTCCTTTTCCCTTCGAAGTACAAGCCGACTTCTCGGCAGCTCCTGCCATCCTGCTTCTCTCCGCCTCATCGATTCCCCATCTCACTTCAAATCTCAGTAGTAAACATATGTTCTCCCTTGTCTATACCTCTTAATTTCTCTTTTCCACTGTTACTGCTTTCTCTGTAATTGTGTTATTTAACTTTGTTAAGCATTTTATAATATGGAAGATGTGGTTGAAACCTAAGTTGTATTATAAAAAAATCATGTCGTATAAAAGCAAGTTGTTTCCCAAGGAGTACGAAAGTCTCATGATACAAGTTAAAATGGCTGTTGTTTTGGTATTCCTTGATTGTGCTAGTATAAATGTTCAGTGTAGAGAATTTCTCACTTATAGTCATTGTTTATCAGTGATTGAATTAAGCAACAAATGAAATGAAGATCATCCTAATTCTGACTTATTCTAAATGGAAAATAATATTTTTATATGTTGTGAGTCTTTAAAATTAAAATAGCTTTTTGAATGAACAAGAAAAGAGAATGTCTCCCGGAAGGTCCATTGTATAATCACTCTTTTGGACAAATTAAAGTGTTCCTGACTAATATTTATTTGCACCAGGTGGGAAAAATAATTTTATCTTTGAATCCCATTCTCCTCATAAAATAGAGTTATTGTATCTTTTACACTTGGTTCATTGCCCACTGGGATATTCATTGGTTACCACAAATTGCCTCCATGCCTTGGCAGAAGTCCAGACAGCGCCTGGACAATTTGGACTTCTGCATTGGTCGTTGCTCCCCACATGAGTCCTGAGACAATGGCTTCATTCCCTTTTTCAGCTTCATTTCCCAGGGAAAAGTAGAGAGAGCTATCCTTTCTTCTCCATATGTTCTTCCCCACCCCTAAAACACTTTTATGTGTCATCTTAGTAGATTGGAAAGGAGTTTAGAATCAATGAAGGACGTTAGCAATGGGTTTGTACATTTGTCTTTTTTATTTCTATGCCTTGCTTATTTTTAAAAACAAGTTTTAACTTCTATAACATTTTCCGAATAGCACTGCTGGAAAAAGAATAAATATATTTGCTTTTTCAGTGTATCATACACTGCATTTCCTTCCTTTAAAAATTTCTTTTGCCATTTTTAACTTTATTTCCTGAAAAAATTAGCATTAAATATTATTTTTATCCATAGTTGGAAAAAACTAAAGCATCCATTTTACATTTCTATATTGAAGAAGTTTGAACATATAACACATATATTTACAGTTTATAACTCACTTTTACATATGTTGCCTCAATGCAAAATTTTGCTTAACTTTAACACAGCTTAAATATAATACTGCCCATATGACAGTCTTGCTGCTTTTGATATTATCTTATAATCTACAATGGTAAAAGCTGGGAAACAGTTTCAAAGTTTGTGGCTTGGTATGTCAAACAGAATATGACTTTCACAATTTGTCTAAAATCTTTTTGCCAAAAATGCTTGTGAAAATTCACATGAATGATGATATCTTATTTTGCAGGTATTTCTTTGGTTTTAAAAAACTGTTTTACTTTTTGATAAACACAGTTTTATAAAGAAAGTGGGAGGAGCTTAGTTGAAGCAATTTATAGACCGTAGAGTGAGACATGATGTCCAAAGATTAAGCAGTCAACTTATTCATCCACTGTGGCAGATGGTTTTCTGTCCTTCCTTTGATGGTGTCCAGGAATAACACATCCATAGTCTTCCAAATTAGCTGATTTGTCAATTGGTTTGAATATGTGTTATACGTTGTTCTTTATTTCCTAAATTTTATTTTTGCATTTTAACTTATTTGTTAATTCTGTTTCTTTTTGAAAAGAGGAGACTCAAGTAACTTCTTTGAAAAATGATTCTTAATTTATCTGCAGCCCTATTTTGAAATAAAGTGTATATGGTAAAAGAAAGATTTGTGCCATTTCAAATTTTTGTGTTAAGGATTGAGACTTGAGTTGTGAAAAATTGTCTGTTTGTTTGTTTTTGAGACAGGGTCTTGCTCTGTGGCTCAGGCTGAAGTGCAGTGATACGATCATGACTCACTACAGCCTTTAACTTCTGGGCTCAAGTGATCCTCCAGCCTCAGCCTTAAATATATATTTTTTTAATTTGACAGATTTATACTCGTGGTAGGTGAAATGTTTGAATAAAGAAGTAATATAACAGGTAGTTATTTCTTCCCCCAATTTTAACATGACATACTTCAGTATTTGGTATAATATGTCCTGAGGTGAATCTGGTTCATTGACTCATGAATACATCCAATAAGTGTATGCTACAGAAACACCTTATTTATTTATTTGTTTGTTTGTTTGAGACAGGGTCTGGCTTTGTCACCCAGGCTGGAGTGCAGTGGTGCAATCCTGGCTCACTGCAACTTCCGCCCCGCTGGGCTCAAGTGATTCTCCCACCTCAGCCTACCAAAGTGTTGGGATTACAGGCATGAGCTATCATGCCCAGCCTATTTATTTTAATATATGCTTTGTTGCCCTTCTTTGGAAAAAGTCTTATTCTGGTTATTTCGTTATTTCTTGTTCTTGTGCTGTAAATCCCTCTATTTGGTGAGTCCACTGACTGTCTCTCATCATGGTTCATTTTCTATTCTGGTCTGTAATTTATTACTGTGATGCATCATTAGTAAAGGTTTAGTCTGTTCTGTGCTTTGGAAGCATTCCTGCAAAGAGTTTTCACATTTGCTCTTACCAGGTCCTAAAGTTTCACCAGTTCAGGACTACTTTTCTTTTTTCAGTTTTTGGCATGAGGATAGGGTGGGATTCTAAACCATGAAGGTTGTGTGAATTTAGTCCCACACTCTATGTGTGGTTCATGCCTAATATGGTTCTGATTTCCTCTGGTGACTTTCCCCCCATTGCCTTAGTTGATATCATGCCTACTTGGGCTTCCTCGCCAGTGAGCTAACTTTTTGTAGTCCCGGTTTCATGGATAGGGTGATCCTTTCAGAGTTTTGGCTTTATGAAGGTCCTTCCAACTGTGACCGGTGTCTTGAAATAACGTCTCTCATTGGGTGTTAGGGAGCCCCCTTGTAACCATTTTGGCCTGTAACTGGTTCCATGAGTCATATTAGCTTGAGCCCCTCACCTCTGCTCATTGACTTTCTTTTTTCTGCTCATTGACTTTTTTTTTTGAGACAGAGTTTTGCTGTTGTTGTCTAGGCTGGAGTGCAATGGCGCGATCTTGGCTCACTGCAACCTCCACCGCCTGGGTTCAAGCAGTTCTCCTGCCTTACCCCCCTGAGGAGCTGGAATTACAGGCATGTGCCACCATGCCTGGCTAATTTTGTATTTTCAGTAGAGATGGGGTTTCTCCATTTTCATCAGGCTGGTCTCAAACTCCCGACCTAAGGTGATCCACCTGCCTCGGCCTCTCAAAGTGCTGGGATTACAGGTGTGAGCCACCATGCCCAGCTGACTTTCTTCTTAGTTTCTTATAACTGTGGATTCTCTGCACTTATTTCAAGTTCAGTTCTTTAAGTAGCGTTTCAGTGCTTATATTTTTAAGCATTTCAGTGTGTTTGGATCTGTCTGGGAATGAGACGCAAAGGGATGCTGTTATACAATTTAAAATTATTTGGATTTTTACAATTTTTTAGTTTGCTCATCACCTTTCTATCAACATGTCAAACATTTTGTGCCTATTACGTACTGTGTACTTTGAGAAATAAAGATCTTTGGCTAGATTCCCTCCTTCAAGAGACTTACTCCTAATATAAACCCTAGAGGAACTAAGGTATATATGTCTTATAGAAATGCAGTGCCAGTAGGTGTCAGAAAGTAAGGCTACTGATGTGGAAAAAAGTGGTTAGAAAAGAAATGATAGAGGAAGCGAGACTTAACGTAAAATACGAAGCTTGGTTAGAACTTGATTGGGTTTGCTGGGTTAGACAAGAAGAGATTGGTCCAGCTTGAAGAGAGCCTTAAAATACCAAACCAAAGAATTTAGATTATATCTTATAGGTAAGAAAAAGGCATTGGAGGTTTTTGAGTGGAAGGGACATTTAGTGCAAATAATGTTTTATAATCTTAGTGCTAAAGTTTTGGAAGACTAGTACGTCACTCTATTAAAGAAAAGTTGGGACCGGGCGTGGTGGCTCATGCCTGTAATCCCAGAACTTTGGGAGGCCGAGGCAGGCGGATCACATGAGGTCAGGAGTTCAAATCAGCCTTGCCAACGTGTTGAAACCCCGTGTTTACTAAAAACACAAAAAATTAGCTGGACGTGGTATCGTATGCCTGTAGTCCTAGCTACTCGGGAGGCTGAGTCATGAAAATCGCTTGAAACCAGGAGGCAGAGGTTGCAGTGAGCCGAGATTGTGCCACAGCACTCCAGCCTGGGCGACAAGAGCAAGACTCTGACTCAAAAAAAAAAAAAAAAAAAAAAAAAAAGAAAAGTTGGTACATCTCCTTTCTTAGAAGTTAAACTCAAGACTTTACAGGTACAAAAATAAGTTTGTTTCATAGTTCCTTGTTTTTGTCAACAAAAGTTTACCTACTCAATGAGGATGGGCCCCAGCCTATGTTGTAAATGAGTGGAGCTGGCTGGGAACAAGAGTGGCCACTGAGAGAGCTCGTGCCTCTTGGGGTCTTGTTGATTGTTGAAGGTTACAAACTAGATCAAATTTTTAAAAAACACTGTTTGGCCTCGGTAAAATATGTATGCAAACATAGTTTGAAACAAAAGCTGTGAGTTTGCAACCTCTCTATAGATAGTGTTCATTATTAAATCTTTATTATATTCTAGCATAACATTTAAAAAATACATTATTTTATGTTATTTAAAATTGTGTACAAAATAGAAATATGTGGCCTGTTTGATTTGAAAGGTTGAATAACTGGCTGTTTACTTATAATCATATTTTTGGATATTTTGACTTTGAGACTTGGACACAAAAATATTTTCCAAAACTCTTGTCTTACAGGTAAAAGAATGTCACATGTCAGCATTTGTACCTGAAGTCAGTATGAAAATTTCAGGGTACATGGATGAATGCCAACTTTTGCATTTCCCATGTGTATCCTGTGGCCATTCTATCCGAGGTGAGTGATTTCTAAGAGTAGCTGGCAACAAACCAGATGCCAGCCAGTCGTGGACTGCCCTAACAAATAATGCTAAGAGTTATAAATTAAACACTGTCTGGTGATCTGTGATGTGTACGGCAGTTAATTTAGTTCATCTGGATTAACTGTCAGCACCAAAAAAACTATATTCCCATAATGTGAAATCTGAATTTAGTATGTTTGGAAGAGAGTAATAATTAACAGTAGGGAATTATTTGTTAACATGTAAAATTACAGCAGTGCCTAAGATTCTTTTGAATTTACAGCAGCATTTTAGTTGTTCACCATGTAATTTAAATAATTTTAATTTCAGATTCAAAGACTTAGTATTTCTTGAGTGATGGCTATAATTTTGTATAAAATACGGCTTTTTGGATTATATATCTTCCATTGCCTTATAATATAGTTTTGCTTCCTATATTGTATACATAACAATATTTAGGTTTCTTAAAAATACATTAGAAAATGACTTCACATTTGTATTTTAAAACTTGTTTTTTTAGTTTCATTCTGGGAAATTACATTGAGGGTAGAGCCTGTTTGTTACCTTATCCATGCATTTTTCGGCTTATTTAAATTATTTTACTTCACCAAACCATTCATTTTTTTAGAACATCCTTCAAAGAGTTCATGCGTCTTACTGAGGACACCTGACCTTTTGAAGCTTCATAATTCACATCTAGATGTCACCGGTCTTTCCCATGTTAACAGTTCTGACTATGTTTTATTATATATGCCTTCGGCGCCGAGCCAGGACAGCTACAAGAGGAGAGATGATGAACAGCCATAGAACTATAGAATCAAACAGCCGGACTTCCCCTCTCAATGCGGAGGTAGTCCAGTATGCCAAAGAAGTAGTGGATTTCAGTTCCCATTATGGAAGTGAGAATAGTATGTCCTATACTATGAGGAATTTGGCTGGCGTACCAAATGTATTCCCAAGTTCTGGTGACTTTACTCAGACAGCTGTGTTTCGAACTTATGGGACATGGTGGGATCAGTGTCCTAGTGCTTCCTTGCCATTCAAGAGGACACCACCTAATTTTCAGAGCCAGGACTATGTGGAACTTACTTTTGAACAACAGGTGTATCCTACAGCTGTTCATGTTCTAGAAACCTATCATCCTGGAGCAGTCATCAGAATTCTCGCTTGTTCTGCAAATCCTTATTCCCCAAATCCACCAACTGAAGTAAGGTAAGACTGATTTTTTAATGACCTAAGTTATATGGTAGAAAGGTTTTGGTTGTTTTAATATTGGATATCTTTTTTATTGCAAGCATTCTTTATAGTGATTTACATGAATTTGATTTTGAAAATATTCCTTAGTTTTCTGATGGGGAAGAGAGATCACTCATATAAAGATTTAATGCAGGCTTTATACCTGTAGTACCTCACACTATAATATTCATGGCTTATGCTATTTGCATCTCATAAAATTTACCAAAACCAAAAAACACAATTTGAACTCATAGGGACCATTCTGAGACGTTAGTATGAAATATGACTTTGAAAATATTTTCAAACAGGCATCATGTTATTACTTTTAAATCTTTTCAACAACTCACAATAGGCCTGTGAGTGATACTTAAGAGGAGGTCCTTAGGGGATTTGGTTTAATGTTAGTTGAATGTTTTTGCAACAAGCATATTCATTTAAAAATCAATGTTGCTTTAAGTAATTCATGCATTCTCCCTATAAGCCTATTTTGCACATAGCAGCTCCTTGGCTCTCATTTTTGTCATTCAACCTCCTAATTAAAAAAAATATTAATATAATGCAGTCTTGCACGTACCCTGTTCTCCATGTGCCTAGGACCCATTCTGCCCTCAAATAAACCACTTTTATCACTCATTTTGTATCTTTCCAGAATTTCTTTGTGCAGATACAAGCAAATACAAATATAATTTTATTTTTTTATGCATAAAAGTAAGCATATTTATCACATTGTACTGTACCTTGTTTGTTTCACACAGTAGTATATATTGGTTCTTTTCATGTAAGTACAAAGAGAGCTTCCTCATTCTTTCCTGCAGTTGCAAGTAATGCATAGTGTGTATGAACCCCAACTTATTAACTAGTCCCCCATTGATGGGCACTTAGTTGTTTCTAGTCTTTTGCTGTTATAAACATTAATGCAGGGAATTACCTTATCATAAGTCACTTCACATGTGTGCAAGTATATCTGTGGGATAAATTTCCCAGAAGAAGGTTACTCAACCAAGGATAATTTGATAATTTTGTAATGTTTAGCATTTGTTTTTGCATTTTAACAATTTATTTTTAATTACATTTAATTTTAATTTTTAACAGTTGTAATTTTGATATATAATGCCAAATTCCTCTCCAAAGGGTCTGTACTATTTATATTCCCACTAGCAGGGCATGTACATGAGTGTTTTGCCAAAGCCTCACCTACGGAGTATGTTAATAAATTTCAATATTTTTGCAATTTAATAGGTGAAAAATGTTATCTCATGTTAACTGTTAAAATTCTTTTATTATCTCAGAGGTTGAAATCTTTTCATATGTTTAAAAACCATTTATATTTCTTTTTCCTTTAATTATCTGATCATATTATTTGCTGATTTTTTCTATTACTTATGAATCTTAGCAGTTCCTAGGACTTTATATCACTTTATTAAATCACTCATTCATTAAATATTTTAGTGTCTACCATGTGCTAGGTGTTGTTCTAGGTATTAGAGATGTGTCAGTGAGCAATGAACAAAGTAAATAAAAATCCCTGCTCTCAGGAGCTTATTCTAGCCTGAGAGCAGATCAGGGTGCCTGTTCAGCTGTAGGATGGCCAGCTGCCAGTGCAGGAGGAGGTGGGCAGGGGTCAGCTGCTACCTCTGTAACATGCTGCTCCTCTGATGTCTCTGTCCCCTCATCTCTAAGGGAACACTTCCAGGGCCTGCCAGAAAGCATACAGGGTACAGCTCAACTTGAAGATTGCTGGTATAATCTTTACTTTTTTTCCCCCAGAACTACCTAATAATTCATTGCAAATAATGTTATTAGTCATTTTTTAATCTCAGAAAGCCAGTATACTTTAATTAAAATCAGATTTTTTTTTCTCCTTAAGAAGAAAAAAAAAGTATTACTGGGATAGGATCTTTTGTTTTGTTTTGTTTTGAGACAGGGTCTCTCTCTCTGTCGCCCAGGCTAGAGTATAGTGGCATGGTCTCGGCTCACTGCAACCTCTGGCTCCTGGGTTCACGAGATTCTCCTGCCTCAGCCGCTTGAGTAGCTGGGATTACAGGTACATGCCACCATGCCTGGCTAATTTTTATAGTTTTAGTAGAGATGGGGTTTCACCATGTTGGGCAGGCTGATCTCAAACTCTTGACCACAGGTGATCCGCCCGCCTCGGCCTCCCAAAATGCTGGGATTACAGACGTGAGCCACCGTGCATGGCAGGATCTTTTCTTACATGAGAATTGTTTTATTAGGACTCTGTCATTCTTCTTACAAACTTATCCACTTTTTTCCAAGAATCTGAAAAGATTTAGGGACGAGATCAATGGAACATGTAATGTGTTTTCTCCAGTGTAAAACTTAACAGCTGTATAACTAATTTTAAGTATAAATCATGCTCTTGGGTTACTGAGAGTTATTGGTGTGTGATTGTGATTAAAGTTAAAACTTTATTTATACGTGTATCTCTGATTTTCTTTACTGATTTTCAGCTTTAGTCTACTGAAAATATCATTACATTTTAAGAGAAAAAAAGGTGACCAATATATTATTAAGGTATATGAAAAGCCTTTTTAAATTTTACTGATTATGAAATCAATAGCTGTTTCATTGTTTAAAAAGAAGCTAGAAAATACAAAAAAAAGGAAAATATATATGAAAAAAATCTGTAATTCTTCTGCCCAAATTCAGTAACTGTTAACATTTGGGTGAATTTTTTTATACAATCAGAAACATTTATTGAACACCCTCTCTGCTAGTTTACTGCTAGGAACCAAGTAGAGAGTCAGACAGAGATGGCTCTTTTTTGAGCTTACAGGCCAGCCTAGAAGAGGACCATGTAGAACATGTATTGGCAGAGGGGAGAACCTAATCTATGGGCTCAGAGAAGGCTTCCCTGGGGAAGTGACTTACCTGCAACCTGAGGGTTGAGTGAGGCCCCAGGGTGGATAGGAAAGGAGGAGAAACGACAGCACATTTGAAGGTGAGATCGTGAGCTAAGATCATGGTGTTTGAAGAAGTGAGAAAAGTCCAAGAATGCAGAGAATAAGCTATTGGCAAATGCAGACATGGGAGTGACATTCCTAAAATTTAAACTAGTGGTTTCTAGACTTTTGGATTTTATAGAATTTTGGATCCAGCTTCCCAGAAGAATATCTTGAGGCGACTATTCCTGTGCAATTTATTATGCAAAAACTGTGGGAGAAGCTAGTAAGGGAGTAGAGGAAGCACGATGGGAAAAAGTCAAGCAAGGATGCAATATCATGTGAAGTCCCAGTCTGCTGGGAGGCAAAGTTGCTAGAGAGCTGGGCTTTCGTACTCCTGCACCAACCAGACTTCGACCATGGGCTGGAAGGGTGGGAATGGGGACTGTCAGTCTTCCAGGCACATGTCACTCCCTAGATGAAGCCCAAGGTAGTTTTGTGAAGAAGGTTGTAGGTGTAAACCCTTAGGAGCAAAGCAAGCCTATCTGCAGGGTGGCACATAGAACTGATGAGATGGGGGGTGTGCAGGTGAATGGAGTTCAAGTGGGAGGAGTCAGTCACAATAAACTAGTAACATAATAATGATCATAAACATTAGGGAACTCATAGACTTGTTGGATTATTTACTGTGCTAAATTAATGTACAGTGAAAAGACAAAATACCAATTTTATCTATCATCACCATCATTTCATAAAAGTTTATGCATCTGTTTTAAAAAAAAATTAACCAGCGATGAGCTTGGTCAATTCCAAGTTAAATGACAAAATCATGTTTCTTCGCCAACAAAGTCGAAAGGACCAGATCATGACAAATTTGTGAAATGATTACTTAAGCAACTCAGTTTATACCAAGAAATTAGCATGATTAGAATCTTGAATAAAGATTTTTTTTCAATTTTATAAGAACATATGTGTGTGATAGGTGCATACTAAATGTGCATTCTCACATTTAGTGATGGAAAACTCCATCTTGTACTACTGTTTGGGAACCACTGGGCTGCACTGCCTATTATTTTAATTTTATATCCCCCCCTTAGAAGTTAACAAACAAGAGTGTGTTGGAGTAGCTCAGGAATTTGCAGGAAATTAACTACTTTTAGTCCCAGAACATTTAAAATTTAAAACCAGTCTTTTCCTATTTCATGTGATTGCATTTCTTTGTTCAGTAAATGAAGTGGAAAAGTTACAGGCAGTTCTACCAGATCTTAAAGTCTTTTCATTTCTTGCTTAATACCTTATTAAGAGGAAAAGGAAAAGGCCAGGCATAGTGGCTCACGCCTGTAATCCCAGCACTTTGGGAGGCCCAGGTGGGTGGGTCACAAGGTCAGGAGTTCGAGACCAGCCTGGCCAAAATAGTGAAACCCCATCTCTACTAAAAATACAAAAATTAGCCAGGCATGGTGGTGGGCGCCTGTAATTCCAGCTATTCGGGAGACTGAGGCAGGAGAATCGCTTGAAACCAGAAGGTGGAGGTTGCAGGTTTTAGAGCGCCCTAGTCCTGTGAATAATATCTTAATGGATGCCTATGTAAGACTCAGAAAGTAGGCTAGCTCAGGGTTACCATTTGGAAGAGAGAGACAAGGAAAAGGGGAAGAGGAAGATGACAAATAGAGGTCAGATTAAAGAAACCAATTGGAATAAAGTTATTTGGGAATGAAATTTAATGATGTGGAATTTTTTTTCAGTGTACAAAGCACTCCAACTATATAATATTGAAATTAAGAAAGCAGGGAGAAAAAAAGAGGCTTTCATAGAATTTGCTACCAAATTGAGTTAAGTAACGATTTCACAAATTTGTCATGACCTGGTCCTTTCGACTCTGTGGGCCAAGAAACATGATTTTGTCATTTAACTCAGAATTGACTGAGCTCTTCGCGAGTTAATTTTTTTTTTTTTTAAGTACATGCTAGTTTATTAGTTTCCAATTAGAAATGGTCTGGGAGGCAGGGAGTGAATAGATACACCTGTCAGAATACTTTTTACTTTTATTTCTGTTTTCCTATACTATTCCTTTACTTTCAGCTAGTGAAATGGAACAGGGTTGGCAAGATAACTTTCTTTGCTGGCTACTAGATATACTAACTGGCTAGGATAAATTTTGGTTGCAGGGAAGCTTTATGTACTCATGTGCCTGGCATCAAGCCTCAATACAGGTTAGAAAACTTGCTTTCTTTGATTTCCATTAATGAAACATCTCTCTTCCTCTCATCTACCCACTGCTTCCTGGTTGCCCTGGAGAATGTTTCTCAGTGGTATAACAGCAAGTCAACAGTCATAGAGAGAATGGTTTATTGTTTCTGAGCACTGGACACATAGTAGTCATCCAGTACAATCAACAGAAAGAACATTAAATGGGCTGTGCTGGTTACCATCCCAGAATTGAATGCTCCAGATGCAGACTGTAAGCCTAGTCTCAAAGACATTCCGGGCTGAAATTTGCACATGTGATACTCGAGATTTAAAATACTTAAAGAGTACATTAGAGTTTGTCAGATTTGTCCAGTAGATAAATACAGTGTATGAGCATAATACTAAACATGTAAATGTACATATTACAGAGGCCATGACCTAAAGGAGTTTAATCATATCAACTCTGCCCTGGGGCTAGAGAATTAAAGGAGTTGGGCTTTCTCCAGAATGTGTGTGTGTTTGTGCGTGTGTATGTGTGTGTACCCCTGTGTACATGTGCATATGTTTATGTTTGTTTTCTTGTTGTCACTGACTAGTTTTTATTATTCTGGCTTTAGTTTTCCAGAATAAAAAGAAATTTGAATATTCTCTTGTTGGGTAAGATAGATACCTTTCTCTTTTTAACTTTGAAATGATACATTTTAGCTCTGTTGGGGAATTTTAAACAAAAACTTTAATGCAGATAGCAGAAAATCTATTTGTATTGGTCTCATAGTTAATATTAATTCAAGTGTCCACAGACCTAGAAATAATTTTTGTCTTTTTTTTCTTGTTGCTTTTTCGATTATCAAGAAAAATAAAAGTAAAATATAAAAACTAATGATTTACTTGCAAATTTTTAATATTTAGACATATTTTTAAATCTCTCTAAAGACAGGTACGATCCTGATATTCTACTTTAAGTATAATTTTTGCAGCTTCTGATATATGTGTAACTAAATAATCTTCATGCTATATAGAAGTCAGAAGCAAGAATGATGCTAAAATAACATTAATCCTAATAAGTTTAAACATGCTAGAAATGTTAAGGAAGTCAGTTTAAAGCATCATCTCAACCCTGTCTATTTTGCATGTTCTGCAAGGTAGCTAGAGAGGAGTTTTGTAGATTAATGCATTATTAAAATGGAATATTTATGTTCTAATCAATATCTTTATACTTATATTTATAATGTTTTAATTTGATTTACATTATAACGCATTTCAAATTATACATGAAGACCTGTATTGTGTGCATATTTATTTATTGCTAAGCACTTGGCAGACGTTATTTCTATATTATATTTTCAGTGTTTTTCTTAGGCCTCACAAAACTCCCCATTGAAACTAAACAAAAAGGTTGGTTTGGTTCACATGTGCTGTAAACCAGTATAGGTGGTTATTTCATAGGGTCTTGAGGGGTCCTTGTTTCTTGGAGATGTTCCTCCGGCATTGTCTGGTGTCAATTTGCAGTAGTGACGAAAGAGTAAGACCAAAATTTGAATTTTCTCACCAGTATTGTTTTAGATATTTCAGCTCCTGTTCCCCAGCACCTATATGACTAGCTCTGTTTTACTGCATATATTTACATTAGAGTTATTCAAATCAATTCCTTTGTTAGGAACCTTTGATTTTACAAGCTAATCTCTAGGGACACTTCTTAGGTTCAGGTTGGCACGCCAGGTTTATTTTTCTGCCTTGTCACTGGAAGAAGATACCCACCTGCTTCTCTTTCCTCATTAAACCTGCCACAGCCTGCTCTATTCTTTGGAACTCTTTCCCTGCCTTGCAAGATTGGTTATAGATTGTAACTAATTTCTCCATTGCTACTTTATTGTTGCCTCTGAATACAAGTACTCACAGGCTATTTATGTTTGATGGATTTTATTCCTACATTTCAGGAGAGAATCAGCAAAAATAACAAGTATGGGATTTTAAACATTCTAGAAACTTCAATAAAAGTCCCTACTGTTAAAGTTCCCTGTTCTGTGGTTCCTGATTCCCTTCGTGATATGTTTATTAGAATTCCTCTGGAGCTTGCTTTTATTCCTGGAGGTGGAAATTGCCATACTTCCCTCTCTATTCTTCCAAGATTGTGGCTATATGCTTTTCTTGGTCCCTTCTTGGGCCTAAAACAGTTGGAGTACCTTTATGTTGATGGCTTCTATAGTTTTGGCTCTGATTTCTTCCTTGAATTTCAAATTCTTTTTTTTTTTTTTTCTCAGTTTCCTCTATGCTTTGCCATTATCAGTTTTTACTTAGATCTCAGTAGGTCATTGGGCCAGGAAAATAAGCGAACAATTTATTGGTAGGAAAAAATCTCATGTAATTAATGAGTATATAAAAAAATTAAGTGTTATTAGTAATCAGTGAATTACAAATTACATCATAAGGAGATATGGCTCACAATCAAACTAGAGATTATTTTTAATGCTTTCAGTGATCATTCTTATGTACTATTGGCATAAGCTTTTTTGAAAGCAGTTTGTAGTGTATATTGAGAGACTTAAAAATATTCTTATTCTTTGATGTAAAATCTTTATTAAAAAATTTTACTAGCCACAGTAAATAATTAAGAATAGAGGAAGGATGATAATTGAAGTATTTTTTAAATGTTTCTAATTTTCTCTTCTCTATTAGAAACAATGTTAGAGAAATAGTTAACTGACATATAAGTATATTAAGTACCTGATGATACTATGATTATGAAGAATCTTTAATTTTGGAAAATAGTTCTATAAGAAGACTTATATGGAGATGGAATATAAGTTAGGCCTTGAAGAATAGATAGGCAGATAATAGTAGGTTGGGCATTTCATGGGGAGGAAGATAACACGAGCAAAGACATAAAGGTGGAAATAAGTTTATTGCATGGAAAATAATGATTAATCTAGCTGGGAAGCAGGAGTTCATTTGGAGAAATAGGAGAATGTTATTCCCCTTTTATGTGTTTAGATATTTGCTAGATACTAAGGATATAAGGATAACTTAAAGATGGCAAAAATGGAAATTCAGGAGAAGGGCGTATATAAGAAACACTTTCTTGAAACATTTGATGAAACTTCATGATTTGATAAAATAAAGAGAAAAAGATAATATGAAAATTTTGCGTTTATATGAGGCTAGTGACAGAAATGGAAAGGCTGAAGTAGGAGACCTTTGTGAAGCAAAATGATCAGTTTAGTTTTTGCGGTTGGTTTAAGCTATGTACACAGGAGATCTTCATCTTCGTGTGTTTTATTCTTACTTTGAGTTTACTTATCTTGTAAAATGGAATGTTGTTCAGCTACCTCTAACTACATGTTCCGGTTTTTAAACTGACCAATGTGAAATCTATAAAAAAAGGACTGTTTGGGGACTTATAAAAATAAATTATGTAATAAGGTCTGTGGCATTTGGTGTTTTAAAGTCTTTATATCTCGGGAACAATACTTATATTGGATTCTGTTTATTTTGATGACTTTGTTTCACACTGTGACATATTGGGCATGGGGCTATAACCTTAAGGGACCAGTAGATCTCATTCTAAACTGTATTATAGGGAAGTTTCTTTTTTTGGCAGATGGGAGATTCTTTGGTCAGAGAGACCTACGAAGTTGAATGCTTCCCAAGCTCGCCAGTTTAAACCTTGTATTAAGCAGATAAATTTTCCCACAAATCTTATACGACTGGAAGTAAATAGTTCTCTTCTGGATTATTACACTGAATTAGATGCAGTTGTGCTACATGGTGTGAAGGACAAGCCAGTGCTTTCTCTCAAGACTTCACTTATTGACATGAATGATATAGATGATGATGCCTATGAAGAAAAGGATGGTTGTGGAATGGACAATCTTAACAAAAAGTTTAGCAGTGCTGTCCTCAGGGAAGGGCCAAATAATGGATATTTTGATAAACTACCTTATGAGGTAAGCCAAAAATATTTAGCAGCAGTATTGGATAAAACACTATAGATTTTTAGTCTTTAGATATTAATGTTTACTGAGCATTGGTAATTGAGCATTGGTAAGGTATATGTAATTTGATGTGTTGTATATTTTGATTTTGGAAAAACTAGACAAAATCATGTTTTAACTAATTTCACTGCTTTCGTTTTGGTTTGGCTTTAGTGTTTCTGGATAAATTATTAAGTATATATTTTCATATTGCTAATAATAACCAAATACAAAAATCAGTAATAAGTAACAATCCACTTTAATTCATATTACACAGTTTAAGTATGGGCAATACATGCATAACTTTGTATTAGTTATGTTAAAGATGATTTGCTATTAAAAATAAGAATATTAAGATTGTGAGATGAATGCTTATTCTATTTAATCCATAATTTAATCCATAGTTTCTCTAAATGTCATTTTTTTTTTTTTCTATACTAACTCTATTCTGTATTCTCCTAACTGTAATTTTTGGTCTAGGCAGGTAGTGCTTTTACCTTGGAATTATTAATACTTTTTGTTTTGTTTTGTTTTGAGATGGAGTCTCACTCTGTCGCACAGGCTGGAGTGCAGTGGCATAATCTCAGCTCACTGCAACCTCCGCCTCCTGGGTTCATGCCATTCTCCTGCCTCAGTCTCCCAAGTAGCTGGGACTACAGGCACCCGCAACCATGCCCAGCTAATTTTTGTATTTTTAGCAGAGACGGGGTTTCACCAAGTTAGCCAGGATGGTCTCGATCTCCTGACCTCGTGATCCGCCTGCCTCGGCCTCCCAGGGTGCTGGGATTACAGGCGTGAGCCACCGCGCCCGGCCTGGAATTATTAATACTTTTTTATGTGTCTAGTTTGAAGTCTTGTTTTCAGTGTGTCCCTACTGGGGTGTCTCTGAGGTATATTTAGCATCCCAGGCTCCCGATGTCAAATGCTAGTAGCATTCCAGGACCATGTGATACCAAAACCTCTCCCCACCAGTTTCGAAATATTCCTAGGGGTGAGAGTAGGGCCAAGCATTTCTGTCTCCCACTGAAAACTACTGTGTGGCTAAAAATGTATAATCAGTTTTCTTTTTAAGAAAACTTTATAGACTCAAATTTTAACCAACTGAGATATCCCTCTTCCAAATTGATGGGTATTTCAGATTTCATGGAAATAACACAAATAGCTTAACTTTCATGAAACAATAAGATAGCCTCTTGAATGTGTTAGAGTAATAGTAGCTATAATGCCTCTCCAACATACTACAGTTAAAATGCCATGGCACGTCCTGTGAAGTAGCTAAAGTTGCCACATGAAGATGAATTTAAGTGTCCAAGGTAATTTGGTCTTTAAGCCAACCCAGACCGCATGTGATGGAAAGGAAGCTTCACAGATTGGACAAGACTGGCCTTTACTGGGAGGAGGGAGGAAAGATGAAGGAAAAGCTGGGTTTGTGGGGGGAGAGGAGCATGAGATACTGACAGTGTTGCTCCTCAGGGCTCTGAGGAGGGTCTGTTGTGGCAGCAGTGGGAGCAGTTCATCTGGAGTAGAGTGAATCGCTGCTTTGATTCTTACCCACTTGCAAAAACTGTAAAATAGAAGTTTAATTTCAGCAAATACATCTTAAACAGTTTATTGAATTTTTTCCAGACCTGATAAAATGCTTGACCCATAGAATTTGAATGAAGGCCAGAGGACACTTTAGGCAAAGGGAAGAGAAGATACAAAGATGAGAAGTGAAACTGTGTGACTTGTTTGGGAACTCCAGTATTTCAGTGTGGCCAAAACATAGGATTTGATAGGGAAAACTGTAGGAGATGGAATTGGATGGAGGCTCAGGGCTGCCTCAGTGCACAGCTCCATGCACATAGATGACAGTGATTGGGACTCCCTGTCTTTGGCTGTGCGGAGTCTATTCTGCTGCATCATAGAGGGCTGTCTGGGTTTCACCAAGAGATTTGCATTTTATCCTTTCAGCCAGTGGTCTTCAGGGTGGTCCAGTATACAGCCAAATTAGTCAAGGGGAGTCACAGATACTTTAGACTTTACAGATAATTTACTTTTGCTAAAAAATTAGAACATGCCCTAGAGTAGAAAAATATAATAAAGTAAAAATATCAGTTTTCCTTAGTGTATTCAATGAAGTCCCAATTAAAATGCTAGCAGAATTTTTTTTAAATTGAAAAGTTGGCCTAAAAATATGAAAATACTCAGGAAAATTCTGGAAAAGAGTGATAGAGGGGTATTAGTCCTGATTCTCATTTGCAGCCAAACAATCCACAACATTCCAACACATAAACTTTAAAAAACCTAGTTATTTTACTTGGAGGACTATTGATATGGGAGAAATAACATATAGATAAATGGAACAGAATAGAGTCCAGGAACAGGCCAAGAGGATAGAGGGAAATGTATTGACAACTCCTCTGGGAAGCTGTTATATTTATGTCGTTAAAAAAAAAGAAACAGAAATAAAAACAGTTTTATATCTTTTCTTCCTTTTTTGCCTTTTGGAATAAAAAAGTTTTGATACCAGTGTTGTCTAGGATAGAAGCAAAAGGATACTTTTTTTTTTTTTTTTTTTTTTTTTTTTTTTTTTTTTTTTTTGGAGACAGAGTCTTGCTCTGGCTGGAGTGCAGTGGCGCAATCTTGGCTCACTGCAAGCTCCAACTCCTGGGTTCACGCCATTCTCCTGCCTCAGCCTCCTGTGTAGCTGGGACCAAAGGCACCTGCCACCATGCCTGGTTAATTTTTTTTTGTATTTTTAGTAGAGATGGGGTTTCACCGTGTTAGCCAGGATGGTTTTGATCTCCTGACCTCATGATCTGCCCATCTCGGCCTCCCAAAGTGCTGGGATTACAGGCATGAGCCACTGCCCCCGGCCACAAAAGGGTACTTTCATACAGTTTTTGTGGATATATAAATTGATGTGAACGTTCTGAATGGCAATTTTCCACTTCCATCAAAACTTTTAAATGCATGTAATTTACTATAAGGATATATTTTCAAAGTTTGCCAAGATGAACATACATGCGTAATACATACACACAATGATATTGCAGTATTATATGCAATAGGAAAAAAAGCAGGAAATGCATCAATGAGAAACTAGTTGAATTATGTCACTTCTATGAAATGGAAGGAGGTGGGTCTGTATGTGCAGATATGGAAAGATCTACAAGATATATCATTAAATGAGAAAAGCAGGTTGCAGAATGGTGTATATAGTATCATTGTTTTAGTGCAAATTCAAGAACACAATTTCATATACATTTATTTGGAAGAGATCAGAAAAACTTAACAATGCTTATCTTTGGGGAGAGGGATGGTTAGAACTGAGTGTAGAGAGGCAGAAACTTCTCATTTTAGACCTTTCTTCAATGTTTGGGTTTACTTTTTACTTGAAATTGTTGATTTTTGTTCGTGTAATATTTTACACATCAACAGCTGTGTCTGGATGATGAGATTTGTTAAAGAAAAATTACTCAATCGTGCTAGGTATAGGGACCACTACAGTGGGATTTTGCAGTGTGAGAGGGAGATTGGGTTCAACAGCATGGGCAAGTGGGAATTAATAGCCAGGGAGCACTGGGTAGAAAATTACTAAGAAACATCAGGAGTAAGGAGATTCTGGCTACATCCTCTTTAAACTTATTTTAAAGATCCTATTGTTGTTACTCTGTGTTTTGTGATATTTTGACTTAAAACAGTGAAATTCTGACCTGAGATTAATACTGAGCCTAGATAACAAAATAAATTGAAGAAGAGCATTTAGGTTAATTGCAAAACAAAAAATTTAGCTAGATAAATACATTAAATTAAAAAACCCCTCTCTCATCTAAATAAGTTGTTTAACATTTAGCAAATATTTAGTGTCTTTTTCTTTATAGTTTTTAGTTCAGAATAGGCTATTTAAGCAGTACTTCTTTGAAACTAGAAGCCCCCAACTGTTAAGAAAAAATAAATCTTGCAGTAATTCGATAAGATAATTTTAATTAGAGAAAGCAATGTTTTGAATTCTGCCTTCTTAATAATTCTTGTATCTGTTTGCTACTCCATCATCACTGCCAGCTACCTTAAGCAGACCCCTTATTTCCTGTTTCCTAGAATTCTGTATTAGCCCCATGGCTGGTTTCTCTTCCTGCCTCCTTGCTTCCAGTAGCACCCCCGCAATGTTCTTTCTGAAACACAAATGTGAACATGTCACTCTAGTTTAAAACCCTTCAGGACAACTCATTGCTTTCAGGATAAACCCAAGCTCCTCTGTGAGGCTTTCATAACACAGTCTTTACCATTAGACTCTCTTTTCACCTGGTTTGCCCCTGACTCCTTAAAGCTGAATGTTCCAGCATAAGAAACTATCATCAGAGTGATCAGGCAACCTACAGAATGGGAGAAAATTTTTGCAATCTATCCATCTGACAAAGGGCTAATATCTAGAATCTACAAGAAGTTAAACAAATTTCAAGAGAAAAACAACCCCATCGAAAAGTGGGCAAGGGATATGAACAGACACTGCTCAAAAGAAGACATTTATGCAGCCAACAAACATAAGAAAAAATGTTAATCATCACTGGTCATTAGAGAAATGCAAATCAAAATCACAATGAGATACCATCTCATGCTAGTTAGAATGGTGATCATTAAAAGGTCAGGAAACAACAGATGCTGGAGAGGATGTGGAGAAATAGGACCACTTTTACACTGTTGGTGGGAATGTAAATTAGTCAACCATTGTGGAAGACAGTGTGGCAATTTCTCAAGGATCTAGAACTAGAAATACCATTTGACCCAGCAATCCCATTACTGGGTATATACCCCAAGGATTATGAATCATTCTACTATAAGGACACATACACATGTATATTTATTGCAGCACTGTTCACAATAGCAAAGACTTGGAACCAACCCAAATGTCCATCATTGATAGACTGGATAAAGAAAATGTGGCACATATACACCATGGAATACTATGCAGCCATAAAGAAGGATGAGTTCATGTCCTTTGCAGTGACATGGATGAAGCTGGAAACCATCATTCTCAGCAAACTAACACAGGAACAGAAAACCAAGCACTGCATGTTCTCACTCATAAGTGGGAGTTGAACAATGAGAACACCTGGACACAGGGAGGGGAACATCACACACTGGGGCCTGTTGGGGGGTAGGGGACTAGGGGAGGGATAACATTAGGAGAAATACCTACTGTAGGTGACGGGTTGATGGGTGCAGCAAACCACCATGGCACGTGTATACCTATGTAACAAACCTGCACATTCTGTACATGTACCCCAGAACTTAACAGTATATATACATAAAAAAAAAAAGCTGAGTGTTCCTGGCACAGGTACACTTTCACTTTGGAGCTAGGCCTGCTTGGCTTTAGTAGCATTCTGTGTTTCTTTTTGTCAAAGCTATTAAAATGTATCATTGTCCTTACCAATCCCCACTGGACTGTAAGCACTCTGAGAATGGGCACTCTTTCTTTTCTGTCCCCAGTGTCTGGCACGTAGTAGCTGTTCAGTGATGTTGAGTTTGACAAATTGTATTATTCAATAGATTACCAAAATGTATCTTTGCACCTAAGAAAATGAGTAGGCAATATGTGCTGAGTATACTTTGAACAGTCTCGAAATGTACTATAGTCAAATGCATGCATGATTTCTTCTCTTTGGATAATTCCGTTGAATGTTTTTATTTACTATATGAAAATATTGTTATAAAATGTATGACATTTTATTCCTTATTAGATCATGTTATATGTTTCATAAAATGATACTGCTTTTCATTCTTGATGATCTTGGTTTCTCTGTCTTATTTAGCTTATTCAACTGATTCTGAATCATCTTACACTACCAGACCTGTGTAGATTAGCACAGACTTGCAAACTACTGAGCCAGCATTGCTGTGATCCTCTACAATACATCCATCTCAATCTGCAACCATACTGGGCAAAACTAGATGACACCTCTTTGGAATTTCTACAGTCTCGATGCACTCTTGTCCAGTGGCTTAATTTATCTTGGACTGGCAATAGAGGCTTCATCTCTGTTGCAGGATTTAGCAGGTTAGTATAAAGGCTTGATGAAGTTTTTTTTGTTTTTTGTTTTTTTCCCCAGCAGCAGGCTATACTTATGTAGTGGTTTTCATAATAAAAGTTTGAAAGTATGTAACATGTACCTTACAAAAATAAAAAGGAAATAAATTTTGAGTGTCATGTTTAGAATGCTGCTGCTTATAAAAAATGAGTGTTTTACTATCCTCTTCAGCTAAATTTTATATGAATATGAAGGGAAACTATACCCTTTACTTCAGGGCTCCTGTTTCTTCTTTCTCATATTTTCAGCACAGATGATTAACACATTTTAAAAACTATTTCCAAATCAAAATCTACCTCTCTAATGTGATTTGTCAGAAATGGAAAACAATTTATTATAGAACATTTTTAATTAAATCTTAATTACATGTGCAATACATCACCCAGATTTAGAAGCTCATTTAAACTAATTATGTTGAAAATGCAATTGCATGCTAAATAGGCGACCACACTTGCAGACCTGCCCAGGTGTTTCTGCTCCTTTCTATTTAAGCATTTCGTTTCCTTACTATTAAATGTCACCTGTTAAGCATTTGAAAGCTTGCACAAGTGCATGTTCATTTAGTAATGCCACAGTCATTTTTCTTAGGATACAAACAGGAGTTTTTCTCCTAACCTTGATTATGGTTTTTCTCACGGTATGTTACATATAATCCCAGCATTTTCATGAAGTTAAATAATGAAGGAGTAGAAACTTGAGAGAAATTTTCTGTTATTTTTAATTAATGAATACTCTTGTATTCTATTTTTAAAAATGAAAAATGAACTATAGCAATCCCTACACATATCCCCAGTGAATACATTCTAGAACACTGGTTTATGAATTAGAAATTCGTATGTAGAGCCTTGTTTCTTCTTAACTCAGATTGTAAAAATAAAGATGCAGTTCCAGAAATAAAGATTTGATATTGTTAGATTTAAATGAAGTAATGATGTTTGAAATAGTAACAATGTGTTCCAAATACTGACCTTGATAGTTTATGCATCAGAGTGAAAAATAAACCAAGCAGTAATGGCCAGTAGCAAGTGTTGAAACCGTGGATGCGCTGTGTTTCTTTTCTGCCAGAAATTGAGCCAGGGGAAGGGGTTCATTGCTAGATATTTGGCAGCTGTCCAGTGAAACAGAGTTTAGTCCTTTCTACTTCCCCTTGCACCAAACACACACATTTCAAATTCTTTTCTCTGCTAATAGGACTAAGAAAGAACTGAAGCTAATGAAGACTGTGAATATTTAGAGCATACATTATCATAAACCAAGACTAACTGAATATGAGAACAGATAGAACAAGTGGTGTCAGTAAGCATTATTTTACATTATATAGACCTTTGGGGCATTTTAATCACCCTCATAGCTCTTTCCCAATATTTTCCATTATTAAGAATTTATTAAATGTTTGTTTTCACCCTTTGTGTGCAAGGAGTTTCAGTGGGTGTTGATCGTATGCAGAGACATACGAGATATATAATATAGTTCCTGCCTTCAGGCTACAGAGAAGATAAAGATATTAAGATAAACATATAAGCATATCCCTTATTTATTTTTGTAAACAGAATAACTGGGTAGTAACTAAGTGTAGACGTTAAAGAAAACATTGGTCATGAATGGCTGAAGTCCAGCTTCACTGGCAAAGTGCTGCATATGACTGTGATAATGAGTAAAATATAAAGCTAATATTAATCAATTTTTAAGTTTCTTTATGTAGCTTCTTCTAGCACATGAGAAGAAACATCACTTATAAGAAGAAAACTTAGCCATGCCATTTAAAAAATTTTTATACTAGTAATGGATAAAGATCTTTTGCAAAGTTAGAGTTTCTATCTACTTCTAACCCACAATTTATCGTCCATTTTCAATTCACCCAGGGTAGTTGCCGTAGAGCAGTTTGAATAATCAGAACAAGCCATATATAGATTTAAGTTCTTATATTTTACTGTAGTATTTCAGCCAGTAAAATCATAAATCTTGATGGCATTCCTTTAAGTGTAGTCACTATTCCCATTAAGAAAAGAAAAAGTTGAAGCAAGAGGGAGAGAGAACCTTTTCTTGGGCGGGGTGTGTTGGAGTTTTCCCTACTGATTACTGTTGGCCCCCATGACTTGACTGCTGAATTGATAGTTACTATGGCTTGTAGGCAGCATTCCCAGAATAAACAATAAATATGCATGGCTTGATTATTAATGAGTAATCTATGAATAAGTATGGTCTATTTATGCTCATTACTATGAAGAAGACTTATTTGTAATATTTTAAAGAAGAAAAGCACATTTAAAAACTAGAGACTAATGTTGATGAGCTGTTTTTTGAACAAATCTTTGGGAAAAAGTTTGATGCAGTTTATTTTTGTTGCTTAAAAACCTTATCTCACAAGTCAGAACTGTTTAACTGGATTTTCAATAACTTTTTAGGAATTTTTATTATTCATCATAGCAGAGAAATAGGTTACATTGGAATAACGAGAACTTAAAACTTTTAATCAGTTATTAAAATCTTAATCTAGCTACAGATTTGTGATTTGCTACTTTGAGTACTGTTCATGCATATCATTACTCATTAAAATCACATCTATTATAATTCCGCTTTTCTAATATGGTTCCCTGAAGTCTTAGATGTTCCTTTGCCTGCCTGCCTGTTTGTGCTTTAGAACTTAATTGTATCATTCTGTTCAAAAAGCCTTAGGTTCATTTGTTCCCTACCATTTTTCTTCAAATAGTTGCTGAACAGCCTTGTCTCCCCCTCAGTTATGTGTGGGTTTTTACTCTAAACCCCTCTTACTTGTTCTCAGTAGTTTATATTCACTCCTTTAGGAAACATTCTTGGATGCTTTCTAGATTCGAGAACTTTATTAGGTATTTTGACATAGAGCTAAAGTTTTATGGTATGAAGAGCTTATTTTCCACTAATATATTTATTCAGTTGCCTGCCTATATTTTATACAGTTGTGTCTTAGATTGTCAACTCTAGAAAGTAGGGACCATTTTAAGATGTTCTTTTCCCTTCTTTCTTTTTTTTTTTTTTTTTGAGACGGAGTCTGGCCCTGTCGCCCAGGCTGGAATGCAGTGGCGCGATCTCCACTCACTGCAAGCTCCGCTTCCTGGGTTCACGCCATTCTCCTGCCTCAGCCTCCTGTGTAGCTGGGATTACAGGCGCCCGCCACCGTGCCCGGCTAATTTTTTTTTTTTGTATTTTTAGTAGAGACGGGGTTTCACCGTGTTAGCCAGGATGGTCTCGATCTCCTGACCTCATGATCCGCCCGTCTCGGCCTCCCAAAGTGCTGGGATTACAGGCATGAGCCACCGCGCCCGGTCTTCCCTTCTTTCTGTCATTGTTGGATACTACCCCTATACAGTTAAGTAGAAGTTTTGTTTTTAATGGCTTTATTTTGGATCAGCTATGTTAAATTATGTTCCAAGTTATTTGGGATTAAGATTATCTTGAATTTACTGTTTTAGAAAACTTAGTGAGGGTCAGCTAAAAACCATGAGATTAGGAATTCAGAAGTCATAGATATTTTATATCTAATTCTTCTCTTTTTATACTTGAGGCAATTTCTGAGGACTATTACCTTTTATTTTGTGATAAGTAGACTCAAATCGTTCATTCCTGTGATCTTAATTATTTTAGGGTGCAAGTTACCATTTAGTAAATTACTTCTTATGTACTTGTATTATTCTGGACAAATTAATTCACCTCATAATGATAAGCAATTTATTTTTCTCTCCAGAGATTCCTTTTCTCATAGCAGGAGACTAGTCTGGGATTGTTTATATGAACTTAGGTCCTCTCATAAAATCTTCAGTATAAGAAAATACTTTATGAGCACAATGTAGAATGAACTGACTGCAGGAAATAAACAAGCTGAGTTCTCCTTTCAAATGATCAGTGGCACAGTTGAGATGAATAAATACATATATGTAATTATGCATTAAAATAAAACCTGCATGAGGAACATTAAGGAAAGAAGTAAGAGCTGTGTGCAGCTAATTGAGTCTGCTACTGTCTCTGCCCTCTTGGGATGTAGATATGAAAAGGTAGGTAGTATACGTTTTGAAAATTTAAGTAGAGATAATATGAGGGTATTAATCAAATAATCTGCTCAGAGTAAAAATATGCAGTACAGGATTCTTGATAAAGAGAAAGAAAGAAAGGTAGTATAGGTATAGACTTTATCTCATTGTGCTTTCAAATTCTATCATTCATGAAATCAATTTGGGAAGTTTCCTATTGTCTGCTAACAGTTTGCTTTCTGGTATAAAGCCAGAGTCTTTATAGTGACACACACTGTGTGAACGGTCCCTCATCTCTGATCTACTCATCTCTCCATCATTTTGTGCCTCCTGTATCCCCCATCTCACTGTTCTTCACTCTGCTTGTTATCCTGCCCTGGACTGCCCTTCCCTTTGCCTAGAATGCTCCTCCTCCAGATACCTGCTTTGTCACCCTCTCGCTTCCTTCAGGGTTTTACTCTGAAGCTTTTCACATCTCTGAAGCTTTTCTGACTACTCTGTCCATCCTTGACACTTTCTGTTGCGCTTCCCTGCTTTTATTTTCTCCTGGGCACTTTTCGCGAATTTGCGACCTACTTTATGCATTTGGTTATCTTCTCCTTCTCTCTTCAAAACATTAGTAAGCTTCATGAGAGCAGGGATTTTGTTTTGTCCACTGTTATCTCCCCAGTGCCTAGACTGTTACCTGGATGATAGTAGAAGCTCAGTGCATATTTGTTGAATGAATGAATGAATGAATGTGCTTCATGCGAACTGCAGTTTAGCTAATACAACTAGCAAAGGAAGCAGCAGTGAGAGGAGTTGGAGGAGATCCAAAAGAGGCAGTTAACGTGAGGAGTGTCAGAGTTTTAAGGAAGGAGTGTGCAGTTGTATGAAATGTCACAAATTAAATAATACAAGTTTGAATTTAGAATAAACGGGTGTTCAGGTGTAAATAAGATGTGCGGGCTACTGGGTTATTTACAATATTTAAATTCGCAGCAACTGAATTTTTTTATTGTTTAAATGTGAATTGGCCAAGATTTAACTTATACTTAATGTTTATGGGGTGCTTTGACCTTTAAAAACTGCATTTGCATAGTATTTCAGCTTCAATTCCACTAGGCAGTGTGGTGAATGTTGTTACATACTTCAAGTCTGCATTTACAGCTGAGGAAATGCTAAGATTTGGGTAAATGCCTTTTCCAAGGTCTTTGCTAGGAACTAGTAGAACAATGCAAAAAACCACATCTTTTAACCAGTGTTACTTGATTTATTTACACAACTAATCTGATTTAGTCAATTTTATTTTGTATGTGTACTTATAAGCTCATTAAATCATTTAGGAATAAAGACGTGGCATAAATTGACTAACAGTATATTACTGATGTGACACTGGTGGGAAGATTATGTCAAGAGACCTGGACAGTCATAATTGGTGCACTGTTAAGAGGGTTCAGTTTGCTTAGTTGATAAAGTTTCATGGATTCAAATACTCCTAGATTCATGTTTACTTTTAGATTGTTTTCAGGGGATGATCATGGACAGGACTATTTTTCCCCCAGCTATAATATAACTGAGATAAATATTGTGATAATTACTCTGATAAAGCATTTTGTGACCTTCATCTTGGATTATTTCTATGTATTTTATGTGAAGCTGCAATTGAATATTTTCAACATTAAGCAGTCTAGCTGCTAAAGAGTAACAGCTGCAAGGACCATAACAGTGCTCTAGTTAAACCCACGTAGACATTTTCTGAGTTGAGGGGAGCCTAGTCTGATTTGTTTTGAGGTTACTTAATTAAAGTTGTCACTTTCATGTGCAGTGTTCAAAATATATTATCCAGTACTGGATAGGTACTGTTGAGGGGGAAATATCTCCCAAGAGTTTAGAGTTTTGTTATGTTTTGATTTTTTTTTTTTTTTTGGCTTTACCAACTCAGATGTGAATTATAGGTAAGTAGGGAAAATACATCTTCTACTTTCTTAATTTTCCACTTAGCATTAGCTGACTTTTTATATGATGTGAATTCATTTTGTCCTCTCAAGTTGATTTTTTTAGCCTAACCATTCATATTTCAGCATGCAGTGAATAAGAATTTAAGCAAAACAAATTTTACATTTTCCCTAATAGAAATCTATCCTTTTAAATGTATCTGCTTAGAGTTGCTAAAATTGCAAAGTTCTTGCAAAAATATCTTTTAGTTTTATAAAATTCACATGGAATGTTGTTCTTGCAGGTTTCTGAAGGTTTGTGGATCTGAATTAGTACGCCTTGAATTGTCTTGCAGCCACTTTCTTAATGAAACTTGCTTAGAAGTTATTTCTGAGATGTGTCCAAATCTACAAGCCTTAAATCTCTCCTCCTGTGATAAGCTACCACCTCAAGCTTTCAACCACATTGCCAAGTTATGCAGCCTTAAACGACTTGTTCTCTATCGAACAAAAGTAGAGGTAAGAATAATTCATAATTTTCATCTTTGCTATTATAGTGGCCAACTGAATATTTAGTTTTCTTTAATTACTCATAATGTGTTTTTTTAATTTTTAAATCAAGTTTATGATGCCATCTGACTACTCTGAAATCATTAGAGCTGATTCAGTCATTGTGAAGTTATTTCAAACCTAATGTGTTTTGAAATTATAAGGAAATGTTCTTCTCTGTGCTCTTAAAATTTTCGTGATGCTATTCATGTCCCCAGGAAAAGAAAGAAACGGTTGAGGTAAGCCAAAATGCTGGCAGGGAACGAATTAGAGAAAGGTAGGAGGATAGTGTGCAAGAGGACATTTGCTTGCAGCAGGGGGAAGCAAAGTGGTATTTATCCTGGACCAGACTTAGGGGTTAAAATTTGTAATACCATAGTTAATGAGTCTCATTAAGAAATGGAATCATGTCATATATATTAGTCTGCTTGCTTTTTCACATAATATCTCTAGGACATGTTTCCAGGTCAGTGCATATATTATCTCTCTTACTGTAATAGTATATGTTATACCATAATCTATTTAACATTCTCCAAATGATCAACAGACTGGTTGATCAACATTTGGTTTTTCCAGTTGTTTTCCTTTTACAAACTACCTAGCACTAAGATTCTTCTGTGTGTAGTTTTGTTTTCTTCTTCTTCTTTTTTTTTGAGACAGAGTCGCACTCTGTCACCCAGACTGGAGTGCAATGGCGTGATTTCAGCTCACTGCAACCTCCGCCTGGCCCGTTCAAGCGATTCTCCTGCCTCAGCCTCCTGAGTATCTGGGATTACAGGCGCCTGCCACCATGCCCAGCTAATTTTTGTATTTTTAGTAGAGACGGGGTTTCACCACCAGCCTGTGCATGGTTTTACACATACTTACTATTACTGCTATTGGATAGAGTCTTAGAGGTGGTATTGCTAGGTTAAAGAGTATGTGACTGGGCCCCTGTAGTACACACTGTCATGTATTTGTTCCCTCTGCTCCACACATACTGGCTTTCTTTCTATTCCTTGAATGTTCTGACCTGGTCCCAGCTCAGGGCTTTTATTCTTTTGCCTATCTGAAATGTTTGTCTAGCTCATTATGGCTGCCATTTTTTCAGCTCAGTGTTCAACTTGCATATTTTTTGGACATGGCTTCCTGGACACTCATAAAATATAGCACCCCTTCTAGTTTGTTTCCTTCAGTTTTATTTCCTTTTTAACATCCTTGTCACTCTCTGACATGATACTTGTATTCTTGCTTATTTTCTTTTTTTTTTTTAATTTATTTATTATTATTGTACTTTAAGTTGTAAGGTACATGTGCATAACGTGCAGGTTTGTTACATATGTATACTTGTGCCATGTTGGTGTGCTGCACCCATCAACTCATCATTTACATCAGGTATAACTCCCAATGCTACATCAGGTATAACTCCCAATGCGCTTATTTTCATTCTTCTCACATTAGGATATAATGGTAGAAGACTTGTCGGTCTTTTTCATTGTCGTGTTTCCAGAATCTAGAATAGTACTTGGTAAAGATTGGCCATTCAGTAAATATGTGTTAAGTAAATGAATAAAGATAACCAAATTACTTTTCCAAAATGATATACCAGTGACTTGGGAGACTGCATTAGTTCTGGTGGGAATGGTTTGGTTCCCAAGAGAGCAGGTTGTTGTAAAGTGAGAATGCCCTTTGTGTTTGACCTCTTTGCACCCTCTGCTTCCCCTTTGATCTTCTGCCATGTTAAGACACAGCAGGAAAGCCCTTACCAGAAGCCGAGCAGATGACAGTGCCATGCCCCTTGAAATTCCCAGCCTGCATACCTGTGAGCTAAATAAACTCTTTTTCTTTATGAGCTACCCAACCTCAGGTATTTTGTTATAGCAACAACGAATGAACTATGACGGCATTGTTCTCAATTTTGGGCAGAATATTTAGCTAGACTTTAGCAGGTGACCTGGCATGGTGGAAAAAAGACTTTGATTCTAGTTCTAGCCCTGCCAGCGATAAGCTTGGTAATCTAGGTGAAGACATTGTCTCAGATTTCCAGATTTGTTATTTGTAAAATGAAAGAATTATTGTCCCAGAATGCCAGATGATACTAGCCTGTGTTTTCATTGGTATGTGGTGAAATGACTCCCCATTTGTGTGAATATAAAATTGTTAGCTATCTTTTCTTGGGTAGGACTGTTCATTCTGAAATTATGCCATACCTGCTTTTTATTGGCACATTTACTATTTTATGGGCCTGTGTACTATAAACTGAAATCCTCTGAGCAAGGAAGATTTAAATGCCCCATTTAAAAATTTCTGATTAATAAGAAATATAGCACACATAATTATTAAATGTAATTATTAAATGAGCCTTTGAGAAGAAAAATAGGGTAAAAACCAAAAAAATATCAACTTGCTAGGCATCTTATATCTGTGGTGGCTTGAAATATATCCTATGAGATGTTTTTGAAATGTTATATAGTAATGTGATCTAAGTGTCAGAGAATTATTAAATAGTCTACAGTTTTCTTGAATTTGTCTCAGACTGATAGATATGACTAAATTTTTTAAGTGTGATTTATGAGGATTAAGAAGATTTCATATCTCAAGAGTAGAAATTTATACATATGTACCTAAGTCTAGATAGCATAAGCTCTGATTTTCCTCAGTTACTTAAATACGGATGTAAAATCATTGTATGAATGTATTAAATAAAATTTAGGTTGTACCCTCTGTTACTTCCTATTAAATTTTTTTATTAGCCCATCTGGTAAAATGTCATAAACACTACACAATTTTTCTGACATTGAATATGTAGAAAAAAACTATAAAATTGAGTTTTCATTGATCTATGGTTGACTTAAAATTAAAGATGCTGTTATTTTAGTGATATAAATGGCAAATGTGAAATTGAGAAAATCTTACCCAGGCAGTGTTTACTTTTAATGCTTCCCAACTCATTGCTTTCTACCTATACTTCACTCACTTCTGTTATTATCTCCTCATTCTTGGGATCTATATCAGAGTCCGACATGGGCACTAAGTAAATCAGAAAAAGGAGAACTGGCAAAATAATCAGCTGGTTTCTTTGAAAACAAACAGAAGCTACAGCACTGGTATTTATATCAATCTGTAAACACCTCCATTGTCACTTAAGCAAAGTGTTATGTCACCTCCTTCTTCCTTTGATACACACCTTTCACCTTGCACCTAATGATGTTGGTGGATGAGAGCAAACAGAATGAGAAGGCAAGATGTAGGAGACTGGTCTGTCTTTAAACGTTCCACAGATTCACTGGCAGTATATTCTCATATTCTAGACTCTGTTTTGAAGAAGGAGCAGTACTTGATTTCAAATGCCTCTGCTTGCTCTAAGGACATACATGAAAAGAAAAAGAAAATAACCATTTTAGTTTTCTGGGAGATGTTATTTTGTTTTAAAAGGGCTACAAATTATCCAGGACCACTTTAACCCATTTTTCTGAACCCTACAAAATTCTAAAATAAACAAAAATTAGTATGACAAAATAATGGATTGTATTACAGCATATTAACCTCACAGAGACCAGTTGATGATGCAATACAGTTACAGTTTATGTGCCTTTACATAATTTACATTAGTAAGTATAGTATATTTATGCCATTTTACAAGACTTAGACAAGTCCGTATGCATAGTGAATAAAGCTTTTGAGTATTTTGGAGACCTGGATTTTTAGTCCCAAAGTTTGGGAAAACCTACTGAATATATTCCGTTGGCTGTCCTAGACATTTTGCATTATTATTTCTTTATACTAGTCTGAATAGGATTGGTGGTATTCTCATCTTTACACATAATTAAATTAAGATCTTAAAAAATTAATAAATTGCCTACTGGCACAAGCCATAGAGTCAGGATTTGAACTCAGGTCTTGTGGCCTTGATGTGGTAGTTAAAATCATAAGATATATAAAAGCATAGAATTGTAGTTATTCTGATAGCTTGGCTATTTATCTAAAACAAGGATTTTCTTTACTACTTATTATTTCTAATTTGTAGTTGGTAAGGAGATATAGCATAGTAACTAACATATACAACATTATAATCCATGATAAAATACAAACTTAATAGTATATCTTAAGTATATAAACTTGAATAAATGTCTTCTGCAGGAAAATGGATTTTTTGTCTTTTTACTATGAACAAGCTTAGTTTGAAGTCTTAGTTATTCTGAATTTATAAATCAAAATTTGTTATTCAAATTACATTTAGAAACATTTAAGTGAAAGTTTGTGGAATCAATACATAATTAACTGCTTTAAGCAAATAGTTTATACAGGCCTACTCTCAATTTTATACTGTAATGGAGAGCAGCATTGAGACAGACAATCCTCAAAATAATTTTGACATGTAAAATGATATGTTGTTGATAGCTAGGTGATGTGTTCTTAAGTGGTTAGCCATAGCCAGGCATGCAGCAGGCCTGATGACTCAGTAAGAATGAGACCTCAGGAGAATAGAACGGTGGCAGGGTCAGAATTGTCTTGTATGCTGGTAGGTAAATTCTGGGATGCTGATGTGGTCCCTCCTTGCATCGGTGGTCGTTCAAAATTTTTAGGCTTATAAGATAGTAAAATATAGTTCAGCTTGGTTTCTTAATTTATTTCATGAGATCTTTTTCTTTCTTTAGATGTGTTAAGGATTACAATGAAAAATGACTTCATCAGAGAAATAACAAATGTCTTATTAATTTAGCAAAGAAAATTCACTAAGTAAGCTATGTGTGGAGTCAGTGGCATGTATTTGTTGAATTTCATTAGATGCAGAGCATTAAATACATGCCTAGTAAAGAACAAGATACTATTACATTAATAAAAGACAGGGTGAACAGGTATACAGTAAGCCCAAATATATGCTAGCATTGTCACAGGCTTGTCCTTAGTTGGAGGATGATCTGCATTGGGAAACCTTTCTAGAAGAAATTACCATTGAGCTGAGATTTATGCCCTGTTTACTGTGTGAT